AGGGAAAAAAGATAGGCTTTTAATTACTTTTTAACTATTTCTTTAAAAAACATTTGGCAATCAATCGACAACGTACTGACAGTACTGAGTACTGAGTAAGTCAATTCATGAGTGGTTAGTCTTACAGCAAGAATGTCACTGGTTCACTTCCCCGTATGTGTGGGCAACAGTCCAATAACATGCATTGTCAGGTTAATTGGACAGCCAATAGTGTGAATTCTTGTCTACATGTGACCCTGGGATGGACGGATAAAAGTACTCCTGGATATATGACTGTGATACTTGATCGAGACAACTGCACCAGTGACAATAGTTCTCCGTCTTTCTGTGTTGTGATAGAAGAGCAGGAGAGCCTTCGACTAAAGCAGCAGGAGAACCTTCGACCTCCTGTAGCTCCAGTTCATTTTTAAACAGTTGAAGCAGTTAAAAACAGAGACAAATTATTTTGTCTATTAGGTCATTAAGTACTTGATTGTTCACAGGACTATTTATAACACACTTTTTTAGGTTTACCTGTTTTTGTCAGTACCACTGCGGAGGAGGAAGGTTCCTATCTTGACTCTAAAGATTTAGTTTTGAGGTTGTTTATTAAAATCACATCTTCTTCTTCTCTCTGCTTCCCCCTTCAAGGGTTGTCCCAGTGATCTGCCTTCATCTCAAACTTGCAGGTGAAAATCTCTGGACCTTCGTCTTCCACCTCTTGCCTGCCTCGTTCTCTCTGCCTCCTAACACGCTAACGTCCACTTTGACTCTTCAACTGACAGTCGTCCGTCACTAAGTACCAGTACCCCATTGGTCAACAGCACCGGAGGCAGTCTTTGTTGATTTGCCAGTTGTCCTTTTTCTGATACCTGCTTGTTTTACACTGATTTCCCTTCCTGTTATAGCTCCGTTAAATATCCAGGCTTGAGACCAGCACTACAGCACACCCAGTGGCTGGATTAAGAAAAAAATCCCACTAACATCAACCTTTAGACAATTATTGTTTTCTTTTAGCAGACTGATGAGACAGCAGCAGCAGAGCATCTCTCAGAGTGTACCCGACAGACAGAGTAATTCTGTAGGTGAAGTATCGCACAGTGTCAGAAACATCTGTTCAATCTGTGTTGTGCTTCAGTGGATAGTGTGCCAAGATCCCTGGGCACAGGGCTCTAAAAATATAACACTGACAAGTCTGTCACACTTGATAAAGGAGGGAACAATAGGAATCCTGCCAAAACTGAAAAGCGATAGAAAACAGAATGGAGTGGAAGAGAAGTTCGTGCACTCCAGACACACAAACCATTTTTTTTTTTGTTGTCCTCCACCTCAGGTGAAAAAAAAAAGATATTTCTTTCTTGGCACAAACTGTGCCCTCACAGGGGGAAGGGGACACTCGCAGCAGCCCATGACAAGACTGAGGAGCCCAGTCATCGTTGAAGGAATAGAGTTCACTTGGATGTGAAAATTACAGACCTGGGACGCTGGGCACAGTTCAAACACAAACCACGGCCTTGGCCAACTTCTTGGTATTTGCCATTTTGTCCTTAAAGTTATAAATATAACTAATTAATCTTGAGTGTGTCTGGTCAGCAGGGGGCGGCGGCCCTCCCTCCACACCCATCACCTCATGCCCACATGCCCTTCGCATGTCACTGACGTGATAGCGTGATATATGGCACCGTTGATTTCACCTTGTCTCGCCACACTTAGCTCTGGTCGGACTGTCCTCCAAGGGATTCTCCAGTCTCAAGCTGACTTCACTGTGGAGTCTCATTGATTGGCTGACTGGCAGCTAATCAATGCCTCCTGGAGGCAGGAGAAGCCTGGTGGTTGAGTTTAGCAGCTGACACATGGCCTTGGTTTGTACCCGCTCCTCTGTTTGTGCCCTACATGTCCAGGCTATCTCAGCAGCCCAGTCAGAAGATCAGTAAGGAGACGGGCAAGTGGATGTTGAGTCTGGATGTGGCTCACTTCTCGCCTACTGAGATTTTCCTCAGCGTCAAAGATGGATTCCTGGTAGTGGAAGGTATGGGACATTGATTTACAGCTTTGTTAATTAAACTCATACACATGGGACACTGGTATTATAAAAACGGCTAAAAACTGAACTCTGGTGAAAAAGAAGCTGAAGGAAAAAAAATAGAACAATTTTTAAATGATGTGTTCAGGGAAATAAAAATCATAAACAAAAATCTAAAGACAGAAATTATTTGGGTGGATTCTCTGTGCTGTGCTGTGTTTGACTTGATTGCTGTGTTTTCTCTCTCTCTCTCTCTCTCTCTCATAAACGGTAATCCACCCCCAGGGAAACACGAAGAGAGACGAGATGAGCATAGGTTTATTGCCAGGTCTTTTACCAGGAAATACAGGTAAACACTGGTATTACCTGAGCAGTTTAAACTGTTTCCAGCAGCTGAAGTAACTGGTTTTCAGC